GGCATGTGTGAGCGAGTTCATCAGCTTCATAATATCGGAGGCCAGCGAGGGGTGCCACCAGGAGAAGCGGAAGACCATCAATGGGGAGGATATCCTGTTCGCCATGTCCACCCTGGGCTTCGACAGCTACGTGGAGCCCCTGAAGCTATACCTTCAGACGTTTTGGAAGGCCATGAAGGGAGAGAAAGGCATCGGTGGTGCAGTGAAGGCGGCAGATGGGCTCAGTGAGGAGCTCATGGAGGAGGCCTTCACTAACCAGTTACCGGCTGGCTTAATAACGGCAGATGGTCAACAACAAAATGTTATGGTTTACACAACGTCGTATCAACAGATTTCTGGTGTTCAGCAGATCCAGTTCTCATGATCGGAAGGCAGTGGAAGACGTGGCCTGCGGCTCCGGCAGCAGCGTCGGGACTGGGGATTGCATGGTCGTCTCTTTGTAAATTAAGTAGCTGTAATGTAGCTTCCTGATGCTTGATTAATTGAGGTGTTAATTCTGACTTGAGAATCTTTTTCATGAATGATTTTAAAGAAAAATTTGGATTTTAAAGGTATTAAAATATTTTTGTTTTGTACGAGAGTGTTGCTCTGTATGACGCCTGTATGCATTGTATATTGCAATTTATTACTGTCAGAGATTTGTAGACAGTTTCTTATTTTCATATTGAATCATGTTACTTTTGTAATTCAAGTAAGCAGCTTGGTTAATTCATGATGTTTGCCCTTTTAATAAAAATAAGGGTGGAGTTCATTTGAAAAAAAAAAAAAAAAAAAAACAAAGTCAATACCTAAAAGTCAATAGTATTTCTCTACACAGATAACAAACACACTGAGAGGGAAATTATAGAAACAATACCTTTTATAATAGCATCAAGGAAAATGAAAAGCCTTGGAATTAATCTAACTAAAGAAGTCAAAGATCTTTTCAAGGAAAATTATAGTACTCTTAAAAAGAGATAGTATAGGATTTCAGAAAATGAAAACATATTCCATGCACCTGGATAGGAAGAGCCAACATTGTGAAGATGGCCATACTCCCAAAATTGCTGTACAAATTTAATGCAATTCCTATCAATCTACCACCAACATACCTAACAAACCTAGAGAAATCAATTCTAAAATATATTTGGAAAGAGAAAAGACCTGGAATAGCAATGGCAATCCTGAGCAACAAAGGCAAAGCAGCAGGCATTGCAATTCCTGTCTTGAAATTATACTACAAGCCTACTGTGATAAAATCAGCATGGTATTGGCAAAGAAATAGACCTGAGGATCAATGAAATAGATTAGAAGATGCTGAAGCTCCTATAAACACACGCAGCCACCTTAACTTTGACAAAGCGGCTAAACATACTCACTGGAAAAATGATACCCTCTTTAAGAAATGGTGCTGGAAAAACTGGCTTTCTGCATGCTGAAAACTAATATTGAACAAAGTCTATCACCATGCACTAAGCTGAAGTCAACATGGGTTAAAGATCTAAAACTTAAGACAAAAACACCAAATCTTCTGGAAGGGAAAGTAGGAGGAACTCATGAAGACATAAATATAGGCAAAGTGTTCATCAACAAAAATCAAATCACCCATGAAACACTCGAAAGAATTAACAACTGGTACCTCCTCCTATTTAGCTTTTGCAGATCAGAAGAAATTACCAACACATTGAAGAGACAACCCACAAATTTGAAAAAAAATTCTTGAGAAAAAAGTACTCAGACACAGGTCTCCTTTTTGGAATTTATAAAGAAATAAATAACACTAGGGTCCCAAAATTTAAAGACTCAGTCCAGAAATCGTCATCCAAATGAACACACACTTCTCAGAGTATGAAATTAAAGAAGCTAATAAATATAGGAATAATGCTCCACATCACTAGCCATCCGTGAAATTCAAATTGAAACAACATTGAGATATAATCTCACCCCAGAAAAAATGACTATCATAAAGAAATCAATCAAAAAACAAATGTTGGAGAGGCTCTGGGGAAAAAGGAACCCTTCTCCACTGCTGGTGGGAATGTAGACTGGTGCAACCGTTATTGAAATCAGTTTGGAGACTCCTTAGAAAACTAGGACTGGAAATCCCTTTTAAACCAGCTATTCCTGTACTGGAAATTTTCCTAGTGGAAATGAAAACATCATATCATAGTGATATATGTGTGTCTATGTTTTTAGCAGCACAATTTGTGATAGCGAAGTCCTGGAAAAAAAACAAGATGCCCATCTCCTGAGGAATGGATGTAAAAGATGTATTTTTGTACAATGGAGTGTTACTCAGCTATAAAGAATGATAAAATCGAAGCCTTTTTATTTAAGTGGATGCCATTCAAAGATATACTCATAATTGAAATAAACCAGACACACATGTGTAAATATCATGTAGTTTACCTAGTATAAGAACTCAAAAGAAGAAATACAAATAGAAAGATATAATGCAATTAAAAGTAAAACAAGAACTTGAGGACTAGACAATGAAGTGAGTGCAAGGAGAAGAGCTAGGAATCATGACAGAGGTGAGACTTACAGTTATTTGTACAGGATGGGTAAGGCAATGATCCTAAGAATATCCAGAAGATTTCTGAATCTAGCAGTTGATTGGAAGGATTCTCACCCTGACTAACTATATATACTCACACCTGTGAACTAAGCAACTGCACTGAAAATGGCAATTTGTAATAGAAGGTTCATGCTTGAAGTGCCTGTCATTCTGGTTTTCTGAGTACATGCTGCTTGTCATGACACGCCAGTTGCTGCCATGCCCTCTCTCAGGTAAGTGTTTGCTTAAAAAGGATGGGGGTGGTGAATGCAGGCAGGAGACAAGAAAAAGAGTGTTGCTGGACTGTCCTGCAACAATGTTAGATTTCTGGACTTATGTGTAAATTTATATAATTCTTTATTCTTATTTTTTAAATATATTTTATTTTTAAAATTTTTTGTTCATATTCTGTAGGGACTTATAATTTAACATATTAATACTTGCTGAAAAATACTTGTTCCATATTATGCCTAAGATTTTTTATATTCAGACTGACAGTATGGTTAAGCTCAACAGCCTAGGTTATATGGTAATAACAATGTTTCTCTTCTGCAGTGTTTAACAACCTAAGTTTGCAGACTAAAAATTAAAGAAAAAGGAGGGATGCAAGGACAGCCAATGTTTTGTCCCTAGCCATCCAAGGTCAATTATTACTCAGGACATATTAGATCATGTACTGTAACATCGTGTAACTCAGATGTGTCCCAAATTTTCTGATCAAGGAGATTATGAGGCCAAACAGGAAAGTGATTGAGGATGTTGAGTGTGAGATGAAGAGTTATATGGAGAGAAAACATTCTCTCAGGCTTTCACAGAGAGCACTTTGGCCAAGCAATGTCCGTGACTCATCCACTTGGCTGACACTGACTAAAGATCTGCAATCTGAGGTACAGGGTCTCAGGATAAATCCTGAGGGGATTTGACTGACCTAATCAGATCCAAAAGCTACAATTACTGTTATGTAGGTCTTTCTTTATCTTGGTCTTAACCACGCAGCAAAAACAGTATAAAAATGAAGTACAAGAAATAAAGTCATGTTGTTATGTTGAGCTGTAGGGGACTGAGTTCATCATCTTCTGACATTGCCACTCAAGTGGAAGACCAAATACTGTCATGGACTAACAGACTATTTTCAAATATTTTGCTGGCTTCACACACTTATCATATTTAAATGATGGAGCTAAACAAAAAAGGGAATATAAATGAATGACCATTTTGTATCTGTGTATTCAAAATGGTTAAGATAGATATATAGCTACATTCGCTTAACTCAAGAAATAAAGGGATTTGTTCTAATTGTGTTTGTAAATAGGATATCATGTCTGCATCTTGCACAACAAATAACCACTAGAAAGGCTGTATGCAATGTGTTAATTATTGGAACTGTCCTACCAATTTGATTTGAAGCTGTCTCATTGCTATTTGTTTCTCAATAAAATTATGGAAAAATAACATAAGTCAGGTGAGAGATGCAAATTAAAACAACACTGAAATTCCATCTTATTGAAGAAAGAAGTGTCAATGTGAAAAAATCAATCAACAGCAAATTCTGGAAGGAGTGTGGAGAAAAATCAATCTTTCTCCATTCTTGTACTGATTGGAACAAGCTCTGTGGAAACTAGTGTAGATGTTCTTCATACAACTAGAATTAGAAGTTCAATTGCAACCTGAGACCATAACTGTAAGTGAAATATATCAGACTCACGTTGATAAATGTTATATTTTCTGCCTTGAATATGAACTTCAAAGCCTAAACAAAGTTTAAAGTGTCGAATAGAGATGGCAAAATGGGAAAAATTCTTCAGAAGCAAAAAGGAACTTGAAAGGGTGAAACAGAAAATGATAGTAGAGAAAGGAAAACATGTAAGTAAGTTATACTTTCATTGTCCCTCAGTTTATTAAAAAGAATGCTTGTAAAAAAAAAAAAAAGGTACCCCACACGTTGAGGGCCAGGGAGATGGCTCAGTGGAATAAGCGCTTCCCTGGCAAGCTCAAGGGCCTGAGTTCAATCCCTGGTTCTGAAAAAAAAAAAAAAAAAAAAAAAAGAAAAAGAATGCTTGTGATAGTGTTAATTGGAGATATTTTAAACCTGTATCTTGTTCCCTAAACAGCTACTTTGACCATAGCAACATGCAATATATTAACTATTATTTTCTTATTCTTGTTGGAATTTTTGTTTTACCTGTTGTCCACAAAGAAAAAGAAAATCATAACAGTGAATGAAAGTCCTATATAATGACCTAACATATGTAGGAGACCTTTATTTAGTAATCATTTATTTTTCTACTATGGCTTCTCTAATTCTAGTTTTAGTAAATCTACTTGAATTTTTCCTGCTCTGTTTTTATGTTGTTATAATGGAAAAAAGCTTCCAACTTTCTAACCTGTTTACTTGCTAATATCACTTCCCATTTATGTATCTTTTTCATAATATTTATGTATTTTCATATTATTATTTTGAAAGGTCGTGGTTCACCTTGAAACTATCCTTGGAGCCTCAGTTCAGCATGTTAAAATGAAGCAAATGAAATATGCTTTTCAGTTGTGGGTCACAATGATGTCCTCAAAAGGAGTTGATGGGAAGGTATGTGCTGTAGTTCTTTTATAAAATTTTCATTGAACTTCAAATGTAAAGCACACATTATTGACACTGTGATTTAAAAAAAACAGTAAAATACTGAATGATTTAAAGAGAGCATTTTGTGGAGTGTTATGCTGTTATAAGAACATGTGTATGATCAATGGGAGGCTGAGCCCATTCTTTCAATGACACGGAATTTTCTTGTGGAGGAACAACAAATTTTTAATGACTTAGACAAAATTTTCTGTTTCATATTTGATAATGTATGTTCACAACTCAGTAGAACACAAGGTATGGACAAGAGCTTAGATTATGTAAGAAGAAAACTAGGTGTAAAATTAATCTTCATATGCTATATGACAGACTTATTTCTTTTAACATTTAATATAATATAGGATGATTATATACTCCTGTTCATAGAGGTCTAAGTTAAGTTTCTCCATGGTAGTTTTGCTGGGGGAAAGCATTTTTATCTATCTGACATTCTTCTATGATTTGTGCTTCCTTATCATTTTTTTCATTTATGTATTTGGTGCAGGGTCTCACTATGCAGCTCAAACTTATAGTGATCCTCCTGTTTTCAGCTACTCATGTGCTGGGATTATAGGCATGTGCCACTACACCCAGATACAGTCTCGGCTCTCAAAACCCCTTGGGGGTGGCACAGCTTGTGGTACTGGGAATCTATCCCTGGATCCTGTACTTGCCAAAGCAGGTGCTTAGTCCACTGAGCTATCTCACGAGCCCTTCACTTCCTATTTATATCTGCTAAGATTGGAAAATAATGCAGGTACGAATAGAAGAAAATGCCCTCTAGCATATTTTATTTATCTAGGGAAATTTTATCTACAAACATTTTAAGAAAAAATAAGTTTGACAGTTTAAGAAGTAAAAATATTTTGCAGTGTTTTACATATTTGCATATACTATCTCATAGGAATGAATATGTTGTACTGTGCCAGATGCAAATTCAGAATATGGGCCATGTTTTAGTTTTGGTATCATAGGAAAGAAATTTATCTAATACACAACAAATATGTCAATTGAAGCGCTCATTCACATGTTACAAGATTATTATATGAACTAAGACTCTACTGAAATTCTTGATATATAAAAGAACTGGCATAACACTTCCTGCCATAAGAAAAATAATAATTTTCATTATTTCTAGAAATAAATAATAAGTTTGGTTAATGCATTCAACTTGGAAATAAAAATGAAGGTAATGTAAATCAACCAGCTGAGGATGGTTGACTTACAATTTTAAATTCATAATGAGTGTATTATTAAAACTATTATTTTTTTCTTTTTCAAAGAGAGTGAAAATGAGAATAAAAACAGAAAAAATTAAAAGTGGCACAGAATTTCCCTTAACAAAGTCATATGAATTTCAAAGTATTTGATGTAATACAGTGTTGAATTTCTAGCAGTTATTCATATTACCACATATATGCATGTAAATTGGAAGAAGAAAGAAAAAAGAAATTAAAGTATAAGAAATTAAGAAGAGAAAATGTACACACAATTCAAAAAAGAGACAAAACAAAGTAAACATTAGCTATTTCTTTCCATAGAACAGCAGAAATCCACAGTATAGTTGTCCAAATGATTCTGCTCACATACACAGATGAATTTCTTTACCCTACTCTCTCTCCTGTCCTTCTCCTCTATTCAATAACTCTTTCCTTTTGAATAAGTTCATTTCCTTTTCACAGTATATAGTGTACCCTTCAGATTCTATCTTTCTTTTTCAGTTTCTAACAATAAAGAGAGAATACAACGTTTGCACATGTAGGTCTGATTTATTTCACTTAAGAGTATGTTCTCTAGCTGCATTCATTTGCTGACAAGATATTTAAATTTATCCTGTTTGTAAGTGAAAAATAGGTCCATTGTGTTAAAAAGCACATATTCTCTATCCATTCTTCATTTAACAGGCATCTTGGTTGTTTTCAGAATTTAGCTATGAAAAATTGGGCTGCTATAAGCATCGGGGTACATATATCCATGCAATATGAGATTTTTCAGAAACTCTGAAAAAATACTCAGGAGTGGAATAGCAGGCATGAATAGGAACTGCTTTTGTTTTTTGTTTTTTCTATTTTATTATTTCTTTATTATAAGTAATTTTAAAGATAATTTATAGATAACCAAAGGCATTCAGTTCCTGTAGGCACAACAAAAAAGAAAAAAAAAGTATATTGTTCCCTTCAAGTAATCTCTATACATCAATATTCATAGAAATTGATTGTAACTACATGAGGCAGATTTCCACCAAATAGAAAACATTTGAGGGAACAGGGAGATAGCTCAGTGGCTTCAGTGCATGCCTAGCAAGGGAGACGTCCTAAGTTTGATCCCTGGTAAAAAAAAAAATAATCTTATAAAATGGCATCCTGAAAACTGTATTATGAATTTGTGAGAGGAGAAATATAATTAATAAATTAAATTAAACTGAAATTTTGATCTTCTTAAAAACATATGCTGTGTATAAAAATATGTGTTTGCTTTTTAAAAAATTTATTGAGAAACAAATAACAATAAGACAGTTTCAAAATCGATTACTATCACAGATTCAATATGTAATACATTGCATATTGTTGTCTTAGTGGTTATTCACTGTAAAAATGCAGACATGATATGCTGTCCACAAACACTATTAGAGCAAGTCTCTCTAAACAATGATTCAAGAGAATGCAACTGTCTTAACTATTTTGAACAAAATACTCATTCATTTCTATCCCCCTTTTTTGTTTAGTTTTGTCTGAGAAGGTTATTCCATTGTCATTTAAATACTGTAGGTGCCTGAATTCAGCAAAATATTCCAACATAGTCCAGTAGTCCATAATAGTAGTGGGTTTTCCATAAGACTGGAAATGACAGAAGTTGTTGACTTGGCAAGGGGGATGGCTCAGTGGAACAAACACTTGCCTGGCAAGTGCAAGTGCCTGAGTTCAATCTCTGGTTCTGCCAAAAAAAGAAAAAAATAAATAAAAGAAGTTGCTGACTTGAGCCTTTTACAGATAAGCAGATTAATATGGCTTTACTTTTTAAAATTTCATTTTATTGAGAAACAACAGTAAGACAGCTTCAAAACTGACTAAACAGACAGTTTCAATAATTAATATATTGTATATTGTTATCTTCTTAGTGGCAATCCATAGTAAAAGATGCAGACAAGATATCCTGTTCAAACACTATTGGTACAAATATTTCTTCTCATTGAATTAAGAAAAAGTAGCTATATATCTATCCTAAGTACTCTGCATATGCAGATACAAAATGGTACTGCCTAGGTATCACATTGTTTTGTTTAGTCCTGTCAGAAGTGGGTATTCCATTGGTATCTAAATACTATAGGTGTGTGAATTAAGCAAAACAATCAAACACAGTCCAGCAGTCCACACTAGTAGTGGGTTATCCACAGAAGTTGTTGACTGAAGGCTTTCACAGCTCAGCATATTAATATGGATTTACTTTGTATACCTCATTTTTATACTTTTTTGCTGGATGGTTAATAACAAGACAAAGAAAGACCTATAAAACAAGAAATGTAACTTTTGTAACTGATAAGGTCAGTCATATCCCCCCAGGATTTATCCTGTAACCCTGTACCACAGTTTGCAGATCCTTTGTGAGTGTCAGCCATGTGGATGAGCCACAGTCATTGCTTGACCAATTTCCTCTTTGTAAAAGCCTAAAAGAATATTTCCTCTTCATGTGACTCTCCTTAGGCACACTTTACATTTTTGATCACTTTCCTCTTTGGCCCCATAATCTCCTTTATTAAAAAATTTGTGACACAACTGAGTTACATGATGTTACAGTACAAGTTCACATGTGTCCTGAGTCTTCACTGACCTTCAGAGGCTAGGTCCAAAATGTTGGCTGTTCTTCCAGCTTTTCTTTTTCTGTACCTTCTGGTCTGTGAACTTAGATTGTTAACCTACCAGAAGAAAAGCGTTTTAATATTACCTACAACAGAGGCATTTGAGCTTAACCTCACTATCCGTCTGAATATAAAACAACTTAGGCATAAAATGGAACGTTTGACTTTAGCTTAGTGCATGGTCATAGACCAGGGTCAAGTTTTAGTTTTCGGTATACAGAGAGCCAGTTATCAAGCACGATTTGTTAAACAGGCTATCTTTCTTCCAGTAAGCATGTTTGGCCACTTTGTCAAAGATAAGTTGGCTGAGTGTCTTCTAATCTACTCCAGTGATCCTCAGGTTTATGTTGTTGCCAGTACCATTCTGATATTATCACAGTTGCTATTTTTTGTAGTATAATTTTAAGTCAGGAATTGTGATCCCTCTCACCTTGTCTTTGTTGCTCAGGATTGCCTTTGCAATTACTGGTGTTTTGTGTTTCCAAATAAATTTTAGGAGCAATTTCTCTAGCTCTGTGAGGTATGTTGGTGGTAGTTTGATAGGGATTGCATTAAATCTTGACAGCAATTTTAGGAGTATGGTCATCTTCAAAATGTTGGTTCTTCCTATCCAGAAGCAGGGAATTTCTTTCCATTTTCTGAAATCCTCTACTACCTCTATTTTCAGAGTACAATAGTGTTCTTTTAAAATATCTTTGACTAATATTGCTGTTACTTTGGAATAAAATACATTTTTACATATCTTAGCAGGAATTTTTTTCTAATGTTTTGTGTAAGACTGTAATAAAAGGTTTTAAGGTAAAAAATAAAATATCTTTGACTTGTTTAGTTAGATTAATTCCAATATACTTCATTTTCCTCCGTGATATTGTAAAATACATTGTTTCTTTCTTTTCCTTCTCAATGTGTTTGTTATCTGTTTAAAGGAATGCTGTTGACTTTTGGATATTGATTTTGTATACTGCTATGCCACTAAATTTGTGTATCAATTCTAGCAGCTTCTTAGTGGAGGTTATGTGTCTTCCAATTAAAGTACTATGTCATCTGCAAATAATGATAATTAAATTTCTTCTTCTTTTTTTTTTTTTTTTTGGAACCCAAGATCGAACTCAGG